TTCTAAGAAATCTCCATCGATTATTTTGAATATAACTTGGAATTCCATTTCGATATCGTTCAAATGAAGAAAAGGGATAGTTAGAATTCCTTGCATTTGTTGGAATAAGAGGGTCATTATTTCTTGATATATATTATATTATGAACAACAGAACATTACTCGTTTAGTTCACTTTTGCATATTAAAAATTATTCGGTGGACTTTATGATTAGTAAATATTTGTTTTGGACGTACTTTATATTGGACATTGTACTGTGGACCATTTGACCTAGAATTCATCTAACAACTTTGTGAAAAAGATTTGAAGCCCTGTATCTTCCAGGAGGTGCAGCGTTTGGTGCATATTCAGGGCGACCCATACTCCCCGGACAATGTTTTGGAAGAAAGCAATTCAGCATTAACAATCTCCCCATTTTTTATTTCTAGAAAATCTAGTTCATTCCTGATTTGCTCGGATATTAATATCATAATATTTAACAATCTCTCTAAATTCTCTTGCACCACTCACCCCATTTCTTCCACACTGTCTACATGAGCTGCATCGCGGGTTGCCTACTAATTAAATGACACCCATTTAAGTCACTCCCTTCACTTACCCCTCTTCAAAGCGTGCAATTGATGTTATATCCTCTCAATAGTTGGTTTTTATTCTGATTGTGAGTCATGAGTGTAACAGATTGTTTTTCATCCAGGAATTCTAAATTTAGGCTGCAACACTCACACTGCCACAGTCACCTACAAATATACATACATTCGTGCCTACATATTTAAATGCATGCCTACAAACACATTAAGTTCACTCCCGTGATGTTTTAGGACATTTTTATCTTCTATTATCTTCTCCAGTGGTCGACATATTTTCAGAGGTCCTGTGTCCTTAATGTGAATTATTTCATCTCATGGACGCGGCCGTAGACAGCTGTCTAGTTTGCCGAGGAAGAAGTTCTTCTCAGCACGTACATATATATTCGTTTTCTTCCGCTTGGAACCCAATAACGATCATTGTCCTGTTAAGGTGTTCTATTAGAAAAAAAGCGAAATGAATCATCTTCGTTGAAAACAATAAATGTGTCAAGCCCTGTTTTCAGTGTTAGATAGTTCTTGTTAATAGAAAAAAAATAAAGCATGACGCTGAACTCACACGCAAGAAATACTCGGTGTTAAACTTCTTCCCGTCAATTAAACTCTCCGCTTCTTCTCTTCACAAGAAGGCACAAAAACATCAGAACTGAGATGAACAATGGGTGATAGGTTAACAACGGACCAATCTGGTAACACATCGGACATCGAATAAGTTCGTATTTTTTAAAAAAGATTTATAGAACTCTTATATCACTTCTTTTTGTGAACGGTTTTGAGAACAAGAATTAATAGTTACATACACAGTTAACCCGTTTTGAAAATGTATGAAATAACGAAGGCAAATAACATTGAACATACACCTTAGAGGCAGAGAACCAAAACAATAAAAAAACTTAATTGATGAAGATGAAAGACTAATATGAATTAATTCGCGAATAAAATATATAGAAGTTTATTATTTTTAGTGCTTCTGAATAATCGTATTCTCACGACTAAAAGGTAAATCAATGCTCTCCCTTTTGGTTATGGTATTGCCATAATTAAAAGCTAAATAGATTAACGAACAAATCCAGTAGCCACTACTGTCTTTAAACGAATTATGTTCGTTAACCGATCATTCACTGCGTCTGTGGTCCAGCCATTTGCCGTTTCAGATCGGCCAGCTTACTTCCCTCAAAGGCCGGCGACCTGCTCGTGTTACACTGCTGGCAAGGATTCGCGAAATCGAGAACGCCACCCGGCCCGGAAACTTTGCGAGGAACTGTGAGCTATCGCGTGTGGACACGTAGGTTGTTTTCTGTTTGTTTCTTTCTTTTCTATTTATTTTTTACTCCTGAGATTGTGATCCTCAGCTTCTCAGTGTGCCAACTAAATATCCAGCCTGCCGAAAATTTCACTGCCGTGTTCGCTGTGAGGATCATCGTGCTCTATGTTACTTCCATTGAAAGTATGACTTTCCCTAATTAATCAGACGTGATGCCTGAACCCTCAGTAAGATCTTGTCAACACATGCCTCAGTATCTCATTTATACAATGCGGTCATTCATTAAAGTACGTACGAAATTAGCATTTTGTCACGGACATTGTCTCGTATTTTGAGGATTTTTAACGTATGGCATAAAGAATATAAAGGAAAAAGTTTAAAAATACCAAACAATCGATTAAAATGATTTTGGGTGAACATCTCAAAATCCACACTGAAATGAAGTATAATTTATTAGTGGCATAGTTAGGTTATCGGGGACCCTAGAACAGAAGGTGCAAATGGGGCTCCTATACTTCGATTAAAGCGTTAAGTCTGTTGACACTTAGTCAGCTTTGACGTTGCTAATCGTGAGCTTGAACGACACCACAGTGACGTTGCTATAGTGACATTGAAGCTCCTGATTGGATGACAGCGTCACAGCTGATCAAGTGTCAACGGACTCAACCTTTTAATAGAAGTATCAATGCGATTGACTAAAGCAAAATCAGGAGTTTTAAATTTAAACTAAATATGTATTACAACATAAAATAGATTTGAGAGTTACTCATTCTTGAGCGCTTATTCTAAAAATGAATTTGTAAAATGTTCTTCCATAAACTACATAAAGTAAAAGAAGCAACAAAGCAGATCTTTGCTCGAGTATTCGTTTTGTAGTGATGGCAATTTTACTTCGCGTGGTTTACAATGGAACATTTCAAGAATTTATTTTTTGAATATGATTCGTGGTTGCGCGGTACGTGTGGAACAAGTAGCAGATGGCGATGGGCGTAAGTATACAAAGCGGCGGGTTTGCTATAAATACCCTCTCGCTCAACCACTGGCCGCCCAGTGTATTCTTTGTTAACGTTGTTGCTGTTGTTTATTGAAATAATTTTCCGGCAGTTAATTGAAGGACATATAAATAATAATCTTAATTAAATAATCTGGTGGAGCAATTTGTTACAAAATTTTTACCTTCAACGTATTGTTGATGAAAAACTGCACCTTTTTTGGATATTGGAGAGGATCCCTTTTCGGGACCCTGATATCGTGAGCCCGGTGTGGTACACTGGTTGCACCACCTTAGCTACGCCCCTGTTATTTGTATTTATTTCTATGAAAGCAGCTGGGTATATTGCTTTCTGAAAAGTATTACACCGGGAAAAAGAAAATGATTGTACCTATCGGGTATTTTTTCTAGTCGTGCATTTCTCTAAACAAAATTGTAGTACTTTCCACTAGTTGTCTCTTGAACTGTAACTGTGCACCACTCGCCTCTCACGTTTGTCAAATTTTGAACAAAATTTTGATATGATGCGGGTGCGTTCAAAGCGGGTTTAAAAAACACCAGAAGCAAGATACGAACAGAAGTGCTACATTCTTCTCAAAAACCACAGCCCTGCAAAAGCCCAGGAATTAGAATTACAAACAAGCAACATGAACTCCCTAATTGGATGAGGTCCGCTGCATTCACGTAAGACTGCCCTGCTTACATGAAATGAGAACTCCGTGACTTCGGCAGCAGTTTAAAATGAAGGAGAATTGAAGGCGAATTTACAGAGGAGAAAAAAAGATTGCAAATAAATTACACAAAATGTTCCCTTATTTCACGACGAAAAACTTATTAGCTCCAACTAAGGTTGGTTAAGAAACGTGAGAAATTTGTTTCGTTACAAAAATGATTTAAATACTCCCAGGAATGAGATAAAAATACTATATTTGCGAGATACCCGACTCATGTATTTTGAAAATGCCGTGAAAATATAAGTTTTAGAAAATTGTAATGTATTCGTACAAAAGTAAAAGAGATTACATTTAAAAGCTACCCGTAATTTATTCGTTGATTAATTTTTGTAATGCGAATTCCAATTCACCGGCTACAGACCTGTTCAGATGAAAATTGCCTTAATAACATAGTATTGTGTGGCAAATGTGTATAGGACTAACATTAAATAAAAAATCACTTACAGAAGACACAATTACCTTTCAGAAATAATAATTTATTCCTTATTTCCATTTTATATTCTTCGGAATCTATTTTCATCTGGTGTAAGTTGTAAGTTATTGGGGCTTTCTCGATCAAACAAAGATTTTAATGATTTTTCCCCATTCTCATAATAATAGTGCTTTTTGGTCAGGAATACATTAACCTAATAGATTTATGGCAACCAATGGATTAATATTAACCTTACACTAACTTATAACTAAGGAAGATACTATTAACTATTAATATCTGATTAAATATTACACTGCTCAAAAAATACTAAAAATCACTAACCCCTAGTATTCACAAAAATGGAATGCATTATCTCAATGGATTGCTGAAAGTCTGACACTTGAAATAAGAGAACAATCAACTCTGGAATTACGCGTTATAAATAGATTTATCTGACACGAAATAAACGATAATTTTGTTCAATATGCAGAGAGGATTCACACACATTTCGGATGATTTGTGTTATCATAGCGTGCATTTTAAGGAAAGGATATAAATGATTAGTGACAAAAGCCTAAACACTTCTACAAATCTAAATAACCTGATAGGTCCAAATACTCGAATCTTGATCAAAGTATTTTTATAATACTACAGTAACATTCAATCATTAAAAAGTATGAAAAAATAAACGTTAATCCAGGTTGGAATTTACCGGAAAATTTAGATTTAGAAATTGAGGCATCGAGAGTTCAACATTTTACCGGTTGTATTTAATTGTAAACATACTTTTAATTGTTTAACATTATTTCTCAGCACTTGTCACGTTTCCACTTACAATCCTTGGCGATACCGCTTTTATGTACTTCAACCATACGTTTCTGCACTTCACTCAATTTTTAAGCGCACTTATTCCTTTTAGACTCTTGATGCCTCAATAGTACATCTCGATTTTTACAGTCACTTCACTGTTGTAGAATCGCCGCAAGCAACTACATTTCTGTTTCTCTCACTTCTTACCTGTTCAGAGTCAGCAGGAGCAACAACCATCGCAATGGGCCGCCCTCAGTGTGGCATGCCCGCCCGCACGCACTCCTCAAACCGTCCACCGATTCGCGCCTTTCAGTCAAGGGCTGCGCTGCGCCACGCCACAACGCACGTGCTGGGTGCACACCTGCGCACCGTCCAGCGTCAACTGACGACCAGCTGCTCTCAGCGCGGTTCGAGCGACCAAGTCCCCGTGGGGGAACTCGGCGGCGCCGACAGAGCCACCTACCCGTGAAGCCGTGAACCTCTTCGGCGAAAGTCAGGTTGTGACCGCGAGAGTCAAAACGATGGAATGGAACGAGAAGTACTTTTCCCGAAGAAATAATTTTTTTTTTAAATTTCCATTTGGCAGACAGTTTGGTCTCACAAAGGTAATACAATATTTTATTATAATAAACTTGTGGAGTGTTTAAAATGATGTCTTATACATTTTCTCAAAACCTCAAATGTTTTCCGTGAAAATGAACTCACGATTCCCCATTTTCTTGAAAACACCTGTAATTTTTTTGTTTAAACTTTTTTGTACAAATAGGGGAAATGGACTGAATAACATGACATTCATGAATTTCACTTTAATGTATTCTTTTGTTTTTTCTAGTATTAAAAAAGCAATATTGTTAAAATATCTTTCATGTCAATATTTTTATTACGGGCATTTCTTAAACATTATCACATTTGTGAGTACAAATGCTTCAAATAATTTCTTATGAAGTTTCTCGAAAACTCAACAGTTTTGAATAATAAAGAGCTTCAAAATGTGAATTTTCAGAAATTCTCAAAACACATTTTTTCCAAAACGGCGCAAACTTTGAAAATGAAATTGTGCATATGGGACGAGGTTATACCCTTCTATAATATAATTAAATTCAGATTTGAGTTCTATTATAAGGAAATGATAAAATATAAAAAATGTGTTTAAGGTGCTAATTAATGCTGCTGAGAAGAGAGTATGGGGTAAAACCGAAATGATACAACAGATAAAGAAACTAACAAGTACGACAAAGTCTGTGCCATTCTGTGGAAAATTTGTTTTAATAATTTAATAAAATGGCATTTCAGTTTTCAAAATTTACAATTAGTTATTGGGTAAGAAACAACATAGTCTTGCTAAGATATCGCTATATAGTAATATTTGCTTCAGAAACATCAAATTGTACAAACTTCAATTTCACCTTGCAACAATGAATTTGTTTCATTTAAATTTATAGTCATAAGTCTAAGAAAAGGACATTCAATTCTAGTGGTGGGGGTATGTATTAAAAGCGTCGGCAGCTAATTGGACTCAACTTGACTTCAGCGACATCACGCGGCGGATGTAAAAAACTCTCACTGTTTATTCGGCCAAGCTCAAATCAACCCCATCTACTTACACACACTTATCCGTAGATGACGTTGGTCAAGTACGTGTATGCGCATCGTCATTGACATAAATCGCCGATATAAGTTACGTCATTCACTGCGTGATGTCGCTGAAGCTCAAGTGTGGCAGATAAGCTTCAGATTTTTTTTTCGAATATACCCTCACCATTTCTCCCAGTCGAGTCTCCTTCTTACAGACTTCACGCTTCAATTAATTTCGCGACATCAGCGCTCTCTCTGAGTCTAATTCATTTGTATTCCAGCTTTGATAAAACTATGATACAGCAAGAAGAATGAAAGAGGGCCATGACTGGTAATATTTCTTTTGTTTGTTGTCCTGAACGAGATGTATGAAAACAACTCTAAACCCTACCTTTTCTTGAAAGGTGGTTAATTCTACTCCCAATGCACCGACGAAACGAACGCGACCTATTACCCAGACAACGAACGTGTAGACCGGAGGCAACCTTCATTCAAGGAGAAAAGCAACGACTCTAAAAACATGCAGAACAACGCAGGACCTTCAAGGGACCACGAAACTCCACCGAGCGGGAACGCAGGTATACAGCATGGGAAGACGTCCTTTTTCAAAATACCAACGTGTCGATATTGCAACATTGAAATGCCTAAAGTGGTTTGTGGTATACTATGTACAGTTGCAGCTTTTCTATTTATTCGATATTACAACACAATGTGAATACTACAGAAAATAAATGACCAGTACGCCTTACATTTCCAAGCCACAAATCACTCACAAATACTTGTGAATCAAGAAGGTTCACAATGTAGTGAAATTTATGTGTTGTAAAATTTAATTGTGCATTCATAATTTGAATTCAGAATGGGTGATGGGAAATTCACTGTGCAATGAAATTAATGAGTATTGTAAGCTGAAATAATTGAAATTTTGCAATTTATATTTCTCGGCAACTTACCATAAAAAACTGTAACGTTTTTTTGATATATTTATATCTATGTGTACACATTTGTAAATATGCTTACAAATATGCAGGAGTGATCTGTGTTGCAGTGACCAATTATCTCACCTTCCTCTTTCGGGTACCTAAACTCACAGTCAATCCACGTGGAATGTGTGGTGGACAATATAGTTTCGCGACAGGATTGCTGGGAATTCTCCCGTTTCCCGTCAATCATTTAACCCTTGCTCCATAATTTAAATCATATCATTATCTTCATCCATCCATCATACTATTCAACTGGGGAAGAATCTTAGGTGCCTACCGTCTTTCTGAACATGAAAGTTCATTGTAATATATGTCGACTGATGGTTCAAAATAAATGTTACTATCTTCTACAGCAGGAACGGAGATCAAAGAAAATTTTTGTCAATGCACATGTGGTAAGATATTATATAAAAGAGCTGCATGTGTCATTTCTGACACGATGCTCCTTATTGATAGGCAATTCACCCTCCTCGAGTGTTTAGCATGTAACTTTAGGTAATGACAGTATCACGTATTTGGTTTATATTGTTCAGCTTTAACTGCATCAGAACGTACTTTAATCACACATGCAACGAACCTCATGACCGTCACTTCCAGAAATATTTGAAGTCAAAGCAGAGCCATAAAGGAAAAAAGAAAAGATAGATATTTATTGTCAGTGGACAACTGTGCCCCTTTGATTTCGTGTCTAGCAAGACAGCAGTGTAGTTTGAGTCGCCTAGCAATAAGGGGCGCGCTGTCCGATATGGCACTGGTGTAACTTCACTAGGTGGCATTTTCTACACATAGCAAATGACAAAATAAATTGTAATCATCTACCCTCTCTACATATTCGTTGTTGTTTTTAACATTTACCACAAGCCACCCTCTAAAGAAATAATTTTTGATATCAATATACCAATGTAATGAACGATATTTTCTAAACACCTAAATAGGTGTTCTACAATACATGTCACAAACTTCTAGGGCATCTAGAGGGGTCGAATCACGTTTTACCAGAGTACATATAGCATGAAATTGCATGTAACGGCGTTATACTCGTACATACATATGGCATATGCCCCTGATTGTTAGGCAATCTCTTACGCACAGATGTTCGGCAGGTTGCGTTTTGACGCCCATTCCGTCAGGATTCCAAGTAGCTGTTTTCACGGGGATGCCTGACTATCAGAGGAGAAATTTCACATGTAGACAAGCATACAACTCAGTTATGTGCAATTTCATACTATAAGTTTATTGACCAAAAAAGTGATAATTTTCTCCCCCTCTACATTACCTAGAGGTTTGTGACATTTATTCAGAAGCCCCTGTGCCTGAACAATTAGACTTTTCAAAAAGTGACCATTTTCGACCGCTTTACATTCCTTAGAAGTTTGTGACATTTATTCTAAAGCCCCTGTGCCTGAACAATCACCGTTGTCGTGTGCAGGCCCAATGCCGATGGAAGAGGCGGCTGTCCGGGGCTACCGCGTGCGCGCGCGCTCCGACTCCTCGTTGCCCAGTCCTTCGGCCAGCGCCTGCGCATCGGCCAGCGTGCTCCAACAACGAGTCAGCATCACCTGCAGCGCCGCCTCCGCCTCCTCCAGCGAGCGACAGGTAACGCTGCCAATTGAATCGGAGAAAACAAAAACCTTCGATGTCCACGAGTTTCAAATTTTGAAGGGCAAGCGAAAAGATTCTAAGTTTCGGACATCGAACATGTTTTATTAACATTAACAGTTGAAGGACACTCTACACACATCACAGAGGTCAAGGGGAACGAACTTTTATGCATCGATTGTTGAATTAACATTTTAAGAACAGTTTCCCACCGTTAACTCAAAACCGGCTGAATGTGACATCGAACCATTTTGTTTGCTCCGATTCATTTTGCTTTCAGAACAGGATGCGTTGAAATGAGAAAACGAAACTTGGCAGAAGGGCAAAGCAAAGTTTTCAAAAATGATACGACATACGTTTGTATCATAATTTTGCAATTACGTAGTTTTAAGATGTTCTTAAAGAAATTTAAGCGTCAAGCTTAAAGAATAGAAGATGGCGAGTTTCTAAGAGCGAAAATCAGTGAGTGCCATTTCTACACTTTTATTCGCAGACAATTACCATCAAATGTTGATGAATTTACACTCATTAATATTGAACAGTTAAATCTCTACAAAATGTCACAGAATAAATGCTAAAAACGTCTAGAGCAGGCTTGTTCAACCAGCAGGTCGCGGTGCCATTTATTATGACCCCCGAAAGGTTATTAGTCAAAAGTGAAAGTACCATGCAACCATGTCGAGCGAGAACATTGTGCACCTAGCGCACGCGACTTGCCAGGATTTACCCTCCCCTTAATGTAAAAAAGAGGTGAAGTTGAGATTTAAGGACTTTTGCTAGTAAATTCAAAATCATCCCAACGTGTTTCACTGCGTAATGTATTGTACAGCCTGATACCGCGCATGGTTCGATCCCACGCTCTCGTTTCAGAGCAGCTTGGCAAAATGCCGAAATCAACATTATGGGAAGTCAGGCGTAGATCGCCTGAGTAATGAAAATGTGGCCCGCAACTATTTTCAAGGTTTTAGTTGTGGCCTTTGAGACCTAGCAAGTTGAATACCCCGGGTCTAGAGCATTCAGAGGGATTGAATATGATTACTTTTTGCGAGCGTTCACGAGCAAAAAATAAAAATAAAATAAATAAATAAAATTTTTAAAAATCTGTAGGAATTTTCACTTATTGGAGTTTGTCATGTGATATTTCCCTCTAATAGTTAGGCTGCCCCGTACGTGCGGACAGTTGTTCAGCAGATTCTTGATATTTCTTTGAAAGCGTCAGAACGTGACCCGCCAGAGAA